TCAGGTCTCTATGATGTTTTGAAACTTTGCTATTTTTTCCTATCCCTTCATGTTATCATTTTTTTTTAAACAATTTCTTAGTGATTCCTTCCCCAGGCCTCCCACTGTCCTTCCGTTCCTTGATTTTTCTCCTTTGTGGCTGCCATGTTCTTGGGAAGCTGGTTTAGACCAAGTGCATGGCCTTTTGGGCTTCCTCCACGTGAGCAGGAGTTTGCTTTTTGAATAATAAGAATTATATGTCACAGGGGAGGGCATTGGGATTTTAGAGACGCCTGGGTGGGCGTGGCCAAGAAAAGGTGGGGACCACTGGGTTAAGCCTCCCTGTCCTCACTGCTTTCAAAATGTGGTTCCTTCCACTGCCTCCTCTGCCCACTGCGCTCCCACGGGGGGGTGGGGGGGAGGATGAGGGGTCGCTGGCTGTTCTTCAGCCTTCGCTCGCCGGCTGCCAGCCCCTTCCCCCGAGAACCCCCTCCCCCGTGCGCCCCTCCCCTGCATACTCGCTGGTTCTAGGATCCCCAGCTGGCGGTTCTATTCCTTACGGTTTTGGAAAATGTTACACCCGGTCGCCCCGGTTGAAACCGAGACATGAACGGTCCTCCAGAGCCGTGCCCCTCTCTGCGCACCGCGCCGTGGCATTCATACGTGTTCTCCTCCGTCCTCAGGCGCCTGTGATGCGCCTCGGGCAGCTCGCCTTGGCCTCATGCTTGTCTTCACTCAGCGCCGAGGCTCCGAACGTGGGAGCGTCTGTCCGCCCCTCCGACCACGCGTGTGTTTTCACGCTGAACTGCCTACTGTGGTTGGATCGTCCGGTCCAGCCCGGTCCGTCTCTGTCTCCTGTGCGTTAGGGCCCTGTTGTCACTTGCGTGTGTGACTTCCGTTCTGTTAGGATTGTTATCGTGGTTGAGCCTTCGGCCATGATCGCCGTCCCTCGTCGTCCTGGCGACACCGTTCACTGTAGGGCCTTCCTGCCTGCGTTCCGTGTGGCCGCGCCGGCTCTCTGGAGCTCAGCGCTGCGTGTCCTCTTTCCCCACCCCGGTTCCTGGAACCTGTTTGTGTCTTTGGGTCTATAATGTGTCCATTGTGGGCGTGCGTCCTTGGTCCCTGCTCCAGGCGATCGGCCGTCTCTGCTTCTTTGTTGAGTGTTTAATTCACTTAGAGTTAATGCAGTTACTGGTGTGTGGCAGGATTCACAGCTGCCATTTGCTCCTCATCTGCTGTGCGCCTCGTGCCTCTTTGTGCCCCTCTCCCCCCTCTCCGGCCTCCTGCGGGCTGAACAGATACCGTCCGCGTCCCTTCTGATTCCGGGGTTAGTGTCCTCTTTGCACAGTTGCTTTCTTAGCAGCGTGATCCGGGGATCACAGTAAACACCTTCACCGAAGACGAGCTGCTTCAGGTTCACGCTCCGCGCTCCCCCGATGTCTTTGTCCCTCTCCCCCTCTCCCCCGGGGACTCTAATTGCACATCCGCCGTCACCGGTCGGGCCGCCCGCAGGCCGCAGGCGCCCCGCTCACACACTTCATTCTCTCTCTTCCCTGATCTGAAGAAGGAGCCATCCTGGTGGGTCCACCGCCAAGTCCACCGGTCCGTTCTCTGTTCCGCCCGCTCACCCCGCCATGCCCCCCTCCAGGCTTCCATCGCAGTATCTGTGCGTTTCGACTCCAGGAGTTCTGTGTGGTTTGCTTTATAACCCCTCTCTCTGTCGGTGTCTCCACTGGGTGCGTCCCTGTCATCACTCCCTTTCCTGCTTCAAACGCTGCTTCTTCGAGGTCCTCGGCACAGGTACGCTCGCTGCTTTGAAGTCTCGGCCCCTGAGGCTGAGGTTCGGGCCCCGCAGAGAGCATTTCTGTGGGCTGCTCCTCACTCCACGTGTGAGTTATACACCCTGCTGCCTCGCACGTCTCAAACGCTGGGTGTGCCCGACCGGTGCGGCTCAGTGGTTGCGTGTGAACCCACGAATCGGTCAGGGCACAGGCCCAGGTTGCGGGCTCCCTCCCCAGTCGGGGCCACGCAGGAGGCGGCTGTTGAACGCTTCGCTCTCATCCTGGATGTTTCTATCTCCTTCTGCCTTCCTCTCTCTAAATCAATATAAACATCAACCACTACAAAACCCCGACTCCTGTCCCGTCCCCGGGAGCTGGGGCTCCCGTCCTCCCTCCAGGCCCCGGCGCTGGGTGCTGGCCTGTGAGACGCGCCGCCAGGCCTGGCTCTGCAGTCCGTCTCCGGCAGCGGCGGCCGCTGATGAGTCGGCTCGAGTGTTTTAAATCCTTGTTTGTGTGAGTTTAGCCCTGGCTTCCTCGGTGTCACCACTGGATCAGCCTGGATCATGGTCAGACGGATGGCTCAGAAGTTTTGTCTGACTCTGGAGCCAGGCCCTCTACCAGGTACTGAGGTGAGAGGTCGAGTCCCGGCAGCTCACGGGTCTCTCCGGCCTGTGCTTCCTGCGGCGCAGGGCCTCACAGCGGCCAGGGAGAGACGGGGCGCAGGGTCCCCTCTGGCCTCGCCTGGGAGTGTGTGCAGCCTCCAGGCCTCAGGAACCCCTGGAAATCCCTCCAGTGGCCGTGACGTGGGCTCCCGGTGATGGCCACTGAGGTCACGATGGTGCGTGTGGTTTGCCCAGAACCCCCCCCCCCCATCTGTGGGTGCAGGTGCTGAGCTGAGTGTCTGCGAGGCCGCTGCGCCCCCGGCGAGGTTTTTTCTTGGATGAACACATTTCAACCTGCTCTGCGCCTCCGGTTAATTTCTGGATCCTGAAATGGCTGCTTCTGACAACGTTGTTCACGTCACCGCTGCTCTCTAGGGCGTTTGTCTGGGCCGAGGTGTGTGTCCATCATCCTGCCGGCTCAGTGGTGGTTGTGTGTCTCTAGGACAGTGTTGGCGAACCTTTTGAGCTCGGCGTGTCAGCATTTTGAAAAACCCTAACTTAACTCTGGTGCCGTGTCACATATAGAAATGTTTTGATATTTGCAACCATAGTAAAACAAAGACGTATATTTTTGATACTTATTTGATATATTTAAATGCCATTTAACAAAGGAAAATCAACCAAAAAAACGAGTTTGTGTGTCACCGCTGACACACGTGTCATAGGTTCGGCATCACTGCTCTAGGACATGGACCCACTTCAGTCCCGACCACACGGAGAGGGTCTGAGGGCCGTGACCTGCCACAGCCCGCCCGTCCCAACCCCTGGGCCCTCGTGGGGAACGAGCTCCAGTGCCTTCTGCTTTCCCATCTGTGTGGTTCCCTGTGTCCTTGACCGCCCATGTGATTGCTTTCTCATCGCCCTTCCTAGTGACAAAAGATGTCATGTTTGTTCTAGAAGCTCCCAGCAGTGTCCCCCAGACCCACTCAGTGTCTGCCCACAGAGTTCACGCCCTTCCCTCCAGCGCTGCCCCTCCCTGTGTGTGTGTGTGTGTGTGTGTGTGTGTGTTCCCAGCCCGTGTCCTCTGCGCGCGTGGACACTATCCCATGGCCGGCGCCAGGCCCCTTTCTAATATCTCATCCTTGTGCGTCAGGCTGGGCTGCACAACCTGGGGGATTGTATTTATTTATTTTTTAACCTTGGGTATTTTTTTTTTTTTTTTGCACATTTTTGGAGGCATATCTTAAGGTGAATTCCTAGAGCTGGGCCTGCTGGGTTGAAAGACAAACGCACCCTCAGTTCTGTGAAATCGTGCGCATTCCGCTCCGTGGGGCCGGGGCCTGGCGTTCCCGGGGCAGCAGGACCGCACGCAGGCGGCCGCAGGAATGTGAGCGAGACCTGGGGTTCCTGTTGATCTGATAGCGAAAAAATGGCATCTGGACTTTGCTTTTGCTGGCATTTCTCATTTCTGAGCGAAATTGCAAACTCCGTCAGCAGCGGAAGGGCCAGGGGCGTGAATCACCCTCTGAGCTGCTGCTCGGTGGGCCTGTTTCTGCAGCCACCGTGGCTCCTCTCCCTCGGGTGGTAGGTTTGTGGAGGTCGCGGCCGAGAGCCTGCGGCTGGCAATGCTGCTGCAGAGCGTCCCTCCCGTTCGGTCAGAGGCCTGTCCTCGTGTGCGGTGCCCCCTGTGCCCCGGGGTGGCTGTCACGGGGCTGCAGTCGAGCGGGGGGCTCGCTCCGGGCCTCTGGGGCTGGAGTCACACGTGGGGGGCCTGGCTCTAGGCACCATCCACAGAGGCCCCTCCCGTCTCCCAGCACCTGTGCCTGTCGTCCGGGAGTAGCCGCCCGCGGGCATGTGCACAGGGACTCAGTGGGGCTATTGATGAATAATTGGAGGTAATCATGTTTCTCCTTAAGCCTGTCCATCTGGGAGAGCTGTCCGGTCCAGAAGCAGTGGTGGCCTCCTGCTTCCTCTCCACGCTCTCCTCCCGTCAGGTTCGCTCAGAACAGGGCTCCACAGGCCCCTCCACGCTCTGTGCTCCGAAGCCGCGCCCGCGAGCAGGTCTGGTCGCAGAGGTCCGGCTGCGGCGCGTTCCGTGAGGGCAGCTCCTGGGTCCATTTTTCTATTTATCTCCTGGGTCCATTTTTCTATTTATTTATTTACTTATATTTTTTGGAAATGCGTGTGTTCAGGCTCTTGCTTTCCAACGGGATCGGTGTTAGATGAGCTGCATCCTGCAAGGAGGGTGTCCGTTTCGTCCGTGTTTTCCCATCGTCCCCGGAGGCGGGGACAGGCTGTCCGTGGGGATGTCAGAGCTCCCTCCCAGCCAGAGGCCGGCCCCGCGGTCCCCCCGTGTGTGGGTGCGCCCTCTCCGCTCCCGAAAGGGGACGTGGCCTGTGTTGCTTTCCCCCATCACCAGGGTTGTGATGCGATTCAACGTGTCTCCTCTCCCGGTTTCTGCCTCATCGATTTCTGCTCTGGTCGCTGTCGTTCCTTCCTCAGGCCTCGATGCCGTGCCCCTTCGGGCTCTCCATGTGGTCCCGTCTTTCTGTCGTCCTCCGTGAGCCCCGCTCGGGCTCGGCAGGGCCGCTCGGCCCCGTGCTGCTCGCAGACCTTCTGTGTGTGTGTGTGTGTGTGTGTGTGTAGGGCGTGATGTCACAGGAAGGCCACAGTATTCTGCCACCCGTGAGGAGTGAGCCCACGTTGCTGTTGGGATGTGTTATACACAGAGAAGCCATTTTTCGGGCGCTCTGCTCTCTCCACACCCAATCGCAGACCTTCTTGGGGCTGCTCCGCCCGCTGGGTCTGCCGTGCGGCCCTCGTCTGGCGTCTGCGTCCGGTCTGAGCGGCTGCTGTGGTGTTCGCTGTAGCTGATTGTAACTGTTACCCCTTCGTTACGAAACGTGGCTTTTAGGGTTAATTATAAAGTCTCCGTATTCGTCTCATTGAATGCTTTTAGCACTAAACGCCTTCCCTGCCTTTGGCATCGTGACCTCTGCTTTCCGGATGTTTCCATGCACGCGGCGAGTCCCGGCCGCTGCCGCGCTTGCCAGCCGTCTCCGTCCCCACGATGGGGGTCTGGCTTGTTTTTTACGGCGTAGGGTTGGGTTTTACTCGCTGCCCCATGTGAATATACAGAGCGGCCAGAGTATCATGACCACCCCATCAGGACTTCGTTGGGCCACCGTTTGCCTTCAATGCTGCGGCGATTCTTCTTGGCATTGAGTCCACGGGATGTTGAAAGGTGATGCGAGGAGTCTGACACCTGCCTGATGAATAGCACTGTCCAGTTCTGTGAGATCTGATGGTTGTGGAACCAGCTGCCTGGTGGCTCTTTTAACTTCATCCCACAAATGCTCCATTGGATGGAGATCTGGTGATTGTGGGGGCCACCTGAGCAAGGTGAAGTCTCCCTCATGTTCTTGAAACCACTCCCGCACAATACGAGCACCGTGGCATGGCGCCTTGTCTTGTTGGAAGAAGCCATCTCCATTGGGATACGCCATCAACATGATAGGATGAACTTGATCAGCAACGATACTTAGGTATGTTGTGCTATTCAGACGTAGTTCCACACGAATTAAAGGGCCCAAATCATGCCAGGAAAACATGCTCCAAACCATAACACTGCCCCCACCAGCTTGAAGGGTTGTACTCATGCATGTGGGGTGCATGCTTTCATGCTGTTTCCACCAAATTCTCACTCTGCCATCTGCATGATGCAACTGGAAACGTGATTCATCAGACCACATGACTTTTTTCCAATGCTCGACTGTCCAATCCTCATGTCCCTGTACGAATTGGAGACATTTTATCTTGGTAACTGCAGACAGCAAAGGTGTTCGAACAGGCCTTCGGCTTCCATATCCCATTCGATGCAGCGTACGGCTAATTTGCCTACAGACATCAGGTGGTTATAACAATCTGGCCACTCAGTGTATGTGTAGGCGGCAAGTTTGTAGCCCGTGTGTTAATAAGTGATGTTTGGTTTTCATTTCGTAACATGACCACGCGTGGCAAGCACCCCGGACTGTCACACGCCTCTGGTTGTGCTCGCCGTGCGCCGGCTCTGCTCTCGGGCGGTGTTGTGTGTAAGATGCCGACGGATGTGTGCCAGAGGCTCCCCTTGGGGTGAGTTCCAGCTTTGTACTTTCCAATCGTCTCAGCGATTCAGTCTCCCCCTCCCCCGCGGCAAGTCCATAAACATCCGAGGACCAGAGTCTCCACTTCTGCAAACACGGCCATTGGAGCTGTGATGGGCTCGGTCACCTGCGTCTCCTCTCCCGCCCGGGCCTGGGCGTGGGGCGGCGGCTTTGTCTGTCTCGGTCTTCGCCTCCTGTTGGCGTGTTCAGCGGGGGAGCCTCTCACCTCGGTGGCCAACTGCATTCCTGGGTCCTTTCTTCGTCCTGTGATTGTACGCGGGCCGCACATTTCCCCTCCTGGGATGTCCGTTGCTGGCGGAGAAACACAAGCGGGTTTTGTGCGTTAACCATGTGCCCGCAGCGCTGCCGAGCTGTTCATTAGCTCTGGTGGTTTCTTTGTGGCCTCTCCAGGCTTTTCTATACACAGGAGCACGTCACCTGCGAATAAAAGGACCTTCACTCCTCTGCCGGGGCCGGTGCTCCTGCTCCTGCTCCTAATTGCCGCGGCAGAAGCTCCCACGGGCGTCCTCCTCTGGTTCCGCTTGGGGAGAGCTTTGTGCTCCCACCGGGGAGTACGCGGTGAGCAGCCGGCTTTTCAGATGCCGTTAGTCACACCGGAGCTCCCTTCTTCTCCTAATTGTGTGTTTTTAAGCAAAAGGTGGTCAAATGCTTTCTCTGTGTCTATTGAGAAGGTTCTATTCATGTTGAACGGCCCCCTTCCACGTCCGAGATACATCCCGCTGGCTCAGCGCAGGGGCCTTTGGCGACACCCAGAGTGGGCACACTCCTGTGCTCTTGAGGCTGTGGCGTCGCTGGGGCTGCCAGGGGCTGGCTCTCTCCTGGTGGTGGGCTTGCCCGGCGTGGCCATCAGAGGAATGGCCACTTCATAGAATGTGTTGCAAAATGTCTCCCCTGCCCTGCCTGGCCCCGGGCTCGGATTAACTCTTCCCTAACCGGTTGCTGTAACTCACCAGATGCTGGACTTGTGTTCACTCAGAGCTTGTTGAAAACCGAGTCAAACTTTTTACTGGTTATCAGCGCGGAATTTCTATTTCTGAAGCCAGTTTTTGTAGTTCACGTGTCACTAAGAATTGGTCCGTCTCGTCCAGGTTGGGTAATTTGTTGTGGTTCAGTTGTTCATACTATTGTTTCACGGTATGATTTTATTTCTGTGACTCCATTGTAGAGTCCTCACTTTAATTATGATCTTATTTATTTGCATCTTCTCTCGTTTTTTCTTAGTCATCCTAGCTAAGAGCTGGTCAGTTTTGTCGATCTTTTACAATAACCAACTTTGGGTTTAGTTGATCCTGTTCTATTCTGTTCATCTCCCCACTCCCCCAGAGCTACTTTAGCACTGCTTTCTCTGCGTCCGATAAGTCTGGGTATGTTTTCATTTTCCTTTATTTCAAATCATCTTTAAATTTCTTTTGTGATGTCTCCTTTGACCCACTCGTTTTTAAAGAGCGTGCGGTTGAATTCCCACACGTTTGCGATGCTGTAGTTTCCCTTCTATTATTGATTTCCAGCCTCATTCCATTTTGGTTGGAGACGATGCTTTGTATGATTTTAGTTTCTAAAAATGTGCTGCTTTCTGGCCGAATGTGATCTGTCCCGGAAAATATTCCACATGCACTTGAGAAGGGTGTGTGTCTGCTGCCGCTGGGCGGAGGGGTCCGCACGCCTTTGTCAGCTCTGGTGGATTCACAGCCGCTCCCAGTCTCCCGCTTCCTCGTCGGTCTCGTCTGGCTGTTCCATCCATTACTGAGTGTGGGGTATCGACGTGTCCAACCATTGGACTATTTCTCCCTCCAATTCTGCCAATATTTGCTTAATGTTTTGGGGGGGGCTCTGTTGTTACATGTAAACTTGTATGAACAAGGTGATCCTTTTCTTAATTGTCCTTTATCTCCTGTCACCATTTTTTACTTAATTGAGTTTTTCTGCTATTAATGCAGCCTCCCAGTGCCCTGCCCCGGGGATGACGGTTGGCAGCGGCGATCTCTCCCCGTCCTTCACTCCGAGTCTGTCTTTGGATCCGAAATGAGAAGGTCGTAGACAGTGTGGGTCCGATACTCCTTTAATCCATTTTGCCAATTTCTGCGTTTTCATTGGAAAATTTAATACGTTTACATTTAACGTAATTATTGGTGAGGACTTCAGCTTGCTCTTTGTTTTCTGCGTGTCTTATGCTTTCTTGTGGGCGGTGCTCCTCATTTCTTCCTCTGCTGCCGTCTTCCACATGTAAAGGATCTTTTGGACAGTGCATAATAGCGATTCTCTTCTCAATTCCTTTCGTGTGTGTATTCCAGGTGATTACCAGGAGGATTGCACCTGACGTCCTACATTTATTAAAATTCTAGTTTTAAGTCTCACCTGCTCAGCTTCAGCAGCATACTGGCTCCCATACGCCCCCCCGCCCCCCCCCCCCGCATGTGATTATCCAGGTTGCGTTTTTATGCGCTGGATCGCCAGCAACACAGACGTATCATTACTGTTTCACGCAGGTGTCTTCTAAGTGTATAGGGAACAAGGAGGGTTACAAACTGACAATACAGTAATGCCGGCTTTGTGTTCGCCTGGGCAGTGACCTGTTGCTCGAATTCTTTCGTTTTCTGTGCCTTTGAGTTACTTCCCACTGGCCTCTCCCTCCAGCCTGGAGGGCTTCCCTTTGTGCAGGGCCCGTCTACTGGCCGTGGTTGCCTACTCAGGAGTGTCGTCATTTCTCCTTCATCGTTGAAAGATAATTCTGCGAGACATAGAATTCTTTAGTTTTTTTTCCTCTCAGCACTTCCCGAATTCAGTCACCCTCCTCTCCGGCCTACGTGCCTCCCGGTGAGAAACCTGGCGCGGCCCCGTGCGCGACGAGTCACTCTCCTTCCGTGGTTCTATCTCTCAACAAGGTGATTACGATCTGCCTCCTGGAGTTCACGGAACTTCTGGGAGGCGGAGAGTCCACGCTTCCCATCACGGCAGGGGAATTGTCAGCTGTCCTTTCCTCAGATGTTCTTCCTGCCCCTCCCCCTCTCGCCTCGCCTGCTGGGGTTCCCACCGTGGACGGGCTGGTATACTTGAGGGGCTTTCATGTTCCCTTCATCTTTTTTTTTTTCTTTCTGCCCCTCAGACTGGATCATGTAAATTGATCTGGCTTCAGGTTCACTGATTCTTCTCCCCATTCAAATATGCCGATAAAGCCCCAGGGAGTTTTCCATTCCCATTAGTATACTTTTCAGATCCAAAGTTTGCTTCATTCCCTTTTATAATTCCTACCTCTCTGTTGGTATTCTCCATTTGTTCTCCCGGTTCCCTTCAGTTCTTTATTGTTTTCTTTGAACATATTGTAAATAGCCGATTTAAAGTCTTTGTCTAGTAAGTTCAATGTCCGGACTTCCTCTGGGACTGTTTCTGTTCATTTCTCCTGTGAATGGATCCTACTTTCTTAATTTTTTGTTGAAATGATATTAACCGTAATAACTCTAGACATCGGCTCCTCTCCTGTTCCCAGTAGGTTTTCCTTGTTGCGAGCTGTAGCTGTTTCGTGACTTCCCTTTTCGTGAAATCTGTATCCTCTGTCCTGTGCGGCCTCTGCAGTCCGTTTCTCCAGGTTGGATTCAGCTGGTCCTCTG